ATCGATGTGGGCGAAGGCACTTTTGGGCAACTGCGCGTTTTATTTGGGGATGATGGATGTTCGGAGGTAGGTGTTAATCTTTAAGCAATTTCGCCTCTATTTGTTGAAGTGCACAAAAAATCGTTATTGATCCCTTTTCCAGTGATACTCTAGGATTTATCTGAAAAGGGTTGAGACCGCAAGCTATTTCGAGCGTATTTATGCAAATAAATAGATATGCCAAACAAAACGATTGTCCTTTGACACTACTTTCTCGGGCACTAAGTGACTTTGTCCCCCTCCTTGTTTTGCATAAGCCAGCTTAACTGCGTACCACTCATTGAACAGTGGTAGCAAGTGACATACTTACCACGCGCGCGGTCAGGGGCCGAGTATTGCATCGCCTCCCACCCTGGCCATCAGAGCCCTCTACACCTCGGTGACGGTAATTTGGTACCAGACATTTCTAGAAAGGTAAGGACACTGACTCATACATCAGCTGGCCAACGGAAGTCATTGTATAGACATATCTCTGTCCATATGCTTTTATAAATCTGAATGGAAATCGAATGCATGCTACATCCCAGAAAAGGGATCGATCGATGGCAAGGATTTTAACCTTTTATCCTCATCTTAACCTTTTTGAGCACGGTCTCGGCTCACTTATTCTAGTTTGACTTTTCTTTATTCTTTTCTTCATCGGGAATCTCATAACCCGACACCAGGTCTTTTTTTTATTGGAAAGTCTGTCATATTAAATCTCAAAAACAGAAAATGTTTTGGAAATTGGAATACTTCAAACAGCACTTCACTGTTCCTCGATTTTCATTGGGGTTTCAGCTGCTGTGCAAATTGAATGCCGTCTTTGTAACACACGCTCATCAAGATCACATGAATGGCCTGTATACAATCATTGAACGGCGTAAGGAGGCGATTGAAGGCTCTGGTTAGTTTTTCTGCTTGTTTTTTTGCGATACTTTGTAATCGTACATTGCTCTATCATCTTGTTTGTCATTTTTTAGCGTTGAATCCATTCCAGGAAGACAGTACACACCTCTGGTTCTAGTCTGTAATCGAAATGTATTAAAGCCGTTGAAAACTTACTCGATGTGCTTCTTTGATCTCGAGTCGTTAGTGGAGATAGTTGATATATCAAGACATCCGATTACACCTCCCGCAAGGTAACCTTTCCATTCACTAGTCTTTGATGATGCTGCTTTTTTTGCCTTCTTTTCTTCTGTTTTGCTTGACCAGCTTGACCCATTTCTCAATTGAGATATGGCCAGCTCGCTTATAAAACTAAGCAGTGAGGCTATTCCGGAAAGTTCTGCAAAATGGTTCATCCTTTCAGCCCTGGTCCTCCACTGAAAAGGCGGCGACTGCC